AGTGTTTTCTTTTTTGTGTTTCTTCCTGTTTTCTTGTCTCCTTCTATCTGATGCTTTTGGGAGCTTTTGGGCGCTTTTGGGCACTTGGGCGCTTTTGAGCGAAGTATAGCCACTGCCAAACAAATGAGTCTGGCGCCTACCCCCTAAGTCGATGGGTAAAACATGCGTTAGTATGATTTACGAAAGTTAAGGGATAAAACGGAAAACTTGATTTTTTGCAAAAACTAATCAATCAAGCAATTGCGGCACCTATTCGCTGATTGCATTCAGTTTCAAATTTTTCAAATTTTCAAAGCAACTGACTACCTCTGCAAAGCTATTTCATGATAACTGTTAACAGTATTGTTCTAAAATGCATGTCTCACAAGCGCAAACAATCGAAAGGGCAGTACTTCCTCTCTCAGTATTCTATTTGTGAGTGAAAGTAGTCATGCATAAGCGAATTTTAACAAAACACAAGCAACATGAAAAATGACCAGCTACCCGCTCCAACTTGCGGTTTTCGTTCATACTGCCCTTCCGGTTTGCGTACATTCGGGGGCGCAGGTTCTAAGAGTCATGATTTAGTGACATAAACACTACTTCTCAAAATGACCCATCACATAAAGTTGATACAGTTCTCTGGTCAAAAATTTGGTTTGACATACTTGCATATCTGTCATCCCTGCGATCGTCATCTCTCACCGGTGGTGGTGCGGCTTTTACCTCAACGTTTTGAGGTCTGGCTGGATCCGCCAAGTAATTATTGTAAAACAGAGCCTAAAAACAACAAATCAGACGAACAGTGGTACAACCTCGTTACTTACCTCTTCGCGGACTTCTTTAAGTTTGTCCTCATGTTTGCTAGTGAGATGTTTGCGAATAAAATCTGGTCCTTTAAACTTCTTTCCAGACAATGGACAAAGCCATTTATCTTGAGATAATTCGACGGTGTTTGCTTGTATGAAAGCTTCCACTTCCCTTTATAAAGGTGGTTAAAAGCAAAAGAAGAAATGCAACTATAACGTACTTATCACCATCTTTCTTGCCCATCTTCTCCAATTCATCTGGAGTAACATAAGATACTTGCATCAAACTTGTCTCGAGACGCTGATTGAAACCATTGATGAACTCCTATAAAATAAGTCGAATCATGCCGTTCATGAAGTTTTTAAAAATTATTTTGCAAAAGCGGACGCTAAAACTACTATAGAACACCCGCAAAGATTATGCAAAGGGTGGGCGGTGGCATTAATTACCAATAAATTTTGTAATCGCCAAGATAAGCAAAACTAATCCATTTACCGTATTAAATTTCGTTGAAACGAGTTTTGTGCCATCCTCAGCTGTTCCGAATTGGGTCGGAAGAACACCTCGAACGTGCAACATACCACACCTAGAAAGATAATTTCGTGCTTTTCTTCCAACAACAATTCTACTGATTACCTGTTGGGCATAGCATCTTCATTAGGATACTCGATATGACCATAGAAATCGATCGAGTGCACCATACGTAGATATAAAATCAACAAATCCAATGCGTGGAGCAGATGTTCATCGCGTACAAACGGGACCTTTTCGTCTGCTGCGGGAGCTGGCGCTGCTGCAGCACCTCGAGAAATACCTGAAATAGCAGAAAATATGCTGTTAATTCAAAAAAGCCGAGTACGTGCAGAAGCTATGTTTTCTGTAATTCTAGATTTATATGGCCGGTAGCTCTATGGCAAATGCGTAAAAATTAGTGAAGAATCTAGTCTTTACCTAAGGCAGCTAATCTCACCTACACTGGAATAAAGCACGCAAGTTAGGGCGATATGTTTTTGTATGTTTGTAAGCGAATTTTTACATTAGCGCTAGCATAATATCATCTCGACTATTAGGCAAAAACATGCTCATTTTGTCAAGAATGTAAGTTGTACTTTTCAGATACTTAAGCACTTCTGAACTTGATTTCACCAAGGGAAAACACATAAGTTAATGCATTCATAAAAATACTTTCAAACCTTCAGATCATACTATATAATATTTGGCTTAGCCACTTTTTGTA